AAGCCCTCTCCTGATAAGCAAGATGATAAAAAACTCTCACATTTGATATCTTGTTCCCGCTATTACGGCATTCCCACTAAAACCCATCGTAGAGTGACGACCGCTATCACGTTTTCTCTCCAAGCTCTCTAATAGTCACATTACTCTAAAAGTGAACGTCTTCAGTCGGGGAGGGGGGTCTTTTCTGTGCTATATTCATGATTCCTTTTTTTTTTTTAAATCAAGATATGACCACATTTTGGGACGTAATTTTACCTTGTGAAGGACAATGTTTATTGTAGATGTTTATAATAGACCACGCACATGTAATATAAAAAAATGGATTTAAAATCCTATACTGTTAATCTAATAATATAATATTGCTTTTCAAAAGAACGAGCTTGCGTTCTCTGGAAACCAAAAAACAACAACAAACAGACTTAAGTAATAAGAAGGTAGAACTAAGGCGCAGATCAACTGCAAATATAAGCTCTATATCTTGATGTCCAAGTAATTCGCCCATTTGCAGTTCAACTGCAAAGTAGAGGTTGTGTTGGTTTTTAACTGATGCAATAATTTTGAGTATAAATAAAAATATATAAATAATGATAAAAAGTCATGCACTAATGCCTTTTCTTTGAAAAAATATATATATATATACGTATGGTTGACGGAAGAAAACAAGTAACTACATAAGAATCCCTACAAGCCTGTTTCGTGGTTGCCCACTCATCAGGGGATTTTAATGAGAATAACTTTACCATTACTTATATACTAGACTGATTTACATAATTTATTCAGTGCGAGGTTCGTTACATCAGTTGTTGCGCAAGAGGGCTTTGTTTCTGTGGCGGCAGGAAGACACGAGTTCATTACGTTTGTTAAGTGTAGAGAGTTCAGGTCGGCAGATGATAAGGAATTTTTCTTTAAGACATAAGTTGCATCGTTTGCTTGAGCTGTTGTACGGCAGGTGTGAAGATAGAATGCGCCAGGCGATAGAGTAGTTGATGTTGTTTTCTTTAAGAGTCCAGACGTGTTTGCTGAGTTCAGTGGAGTTTCTGTTCTTCGCGTGACGGAATGATGACATGTGGTTGCTGTATCTTGTTTTGAAGTCGTTCGCAGTAAGCCCGATGTACGTTTCTGTCGTGTTGGTGTCTTTTCGTGTGACAGTAGCTTGGTAGATGACAGCAGGCTGAAGGCAGTTCCCGTTGAGCGGGCATGAGTTCTTTTGTCGGCAGTTGCATTTCTTGTTGTTGTTGTTGATGATGGTGGGGGCGGAGTCGGCGGCAGCGGTGGTAGCAATAGTCTTAGCATGGGCAGTCAAGATTCGTTTGTTGTGGTTGTCGATGATTTGTTTTGCGTTGTTCATGCAGCTGTAACTGATCTTGATGTTGTTTCTGTTAAAGATTTTGCGTAGCTTGTGGTCCTTGGGGAAGTGCTTGTCTATTAAGGCGAGGAATTTACCGACAACGCAATAACATTCTATGGTACAACCCACCCTTTAGCAAGAACACCAGTACCAACATTGGACGTAAATTCCTCGCCTTAATAGAAACGACAGAATAACGTACGAATAATAAAAACGACAGAAACGTACATCGGGCTTACTGCGAACGACTTCAAAACAAGATACAGCAACCACATGTCATCATTCCGTCACGCGAAGAACAGAAACTCCACTGAACTCAGCAAACACGTCTGGACTCTTAAAGAAAACAACATCAACTACTCTATCGCCTGGCGCATTCTATCTTCACACCTGCCGTACAACAGCTCAAGCAAACGATGCAACTTATGTCTTAAAGAAAAATTCCTTATCATCTGCCGACCTGAACTCTCTACACTTAACAAACGTAATGAACTCGTGTCTTCCTGCCGCCACAGAAACAAAGCCCTCTTGCGCAACAACTGATGTAACGAACCTCGCACTGAATAAATTATGTAAATCAGTCTAGTATATAAGTAATGGTAAAGTTATTTTCATTAAAATCCCCTGATGAGTGGGCAACCACGAAACAGGCTTGTAGGGATTCTTATGTAGTTACTTGTTTTCTTCCGTCAACCATACGTATACTCGCTCTACTTTATGTATTGAGCACTGTTTTACGGATTTCAAGTTCAAACCTATATATATATATATATATATATATATATATATATATATATATATATATATATATATATATATATATATATATATATATATATATCCAAGGAGAAAGCAAACCGGATCCTGGAGGGGTCATACAGATATAAGAACAGCAAAAATGTACATCTCAGTGCTTCCTGAAGTAAGTTTCTTGCTTAGTACGCTTTAAGGGGTACGAAAACAGTCCTCATTTCTTCAAAAGCCCAGACATGTCCACATCGCGTCCATTTTGGGTCACATTGTTTTTCCTGCGGAACCTGGTAATTCTGATTCCTGGTTCTCCACACGTTTCTTCACAGACTGCCTGCAAATATAGGTAATTAAATTTATTGTATTAAGTCCCGCACATTTTAAGGTGGAAAATGAATGATATAGAGTAGGTGTCTGCTGGCAAGTCTACGAAGGATTTAATTGTGGATAGAATAACATACTAGGAATAAGTACTAACAATTTAGGCGGGGCTCTTTAAATCATTGGGAGCCTGTTGTTCAACGTCTGGCATTGGGTTATTTCCTCCAACTCTAGCCACAAATAAAAAATTAAAGATATCATTTTATTGTAATAAAAGTGATTGAAGACTGATACATCATCAAGGTAGTTGACTATTCCCCTCCCCCTCATTCATTCGTTTTCTTTTTTTCTTTCTTTGTTTTTTTCTTATTTCTCTCTCTATAGATAATAATTACATTTAGTATATACTAAAACAGTGGATAGTGTTTTTCACGCGCTCTGATTGGCTACTCAATCAGTGAATATCCTGCACTATTCACTGATTCACCTCCAGTTCCTCCGAGCGAGCGACGCCAAACTCGCGTAAGTTGCGAGCAAAATGCCTTCCCGGTTTGCTGCCGTAAATAAACAAAGAAATTTCACAAGTAATCAAGCAAGCTGTTTCCAAAATACACGAAGATGGTGACGAAGTTCGGATTGGAAGTTTTAACAGGTAAAGCTTTGTGTTTTTGACACGAATTTATCGATAAAACCGGTGAAAAAATGTTTGTTTACAAATGCAAATTAAGTTTAAGTCTTGCGTTACTTTATTTAGTTGAGTTGTTCATAAATAAGCTTAAAACTAAATTTAATAATCTTTTGTTGTAGAATGATTTTAAATACAAAAAGAATGCACACCTCTTTTTGAAGAAATTTCCCCGCAAGAGCTAAACCAATGTCTGCAAAAGTTTTAATTGTCGGCAAGAAAAAGCGACGGCCGCGGCCGCCCGGTCATTACGCGCCAAAATTGTAATCGTTGGCAACAGTATTTGAGTTAAAAATCATCATTTTTGTGCTCAATTATCTCACTGTTTTAGTATATACTAAAACAATTATTCACCTCAGTGTCGGTGGCTAGTCGTGGATATTTACCTCACTGCTTCGCAGTTCGGTAAAATATCCACGACTAGCCACCTCCACTTCGGTGAATAATTGTTATATATTTTTCTGTTTATCATCTTATTAAGGTGGCTCGATACGGTTTTCAAGGGCAATACCTCTCACCCTTGACTATTATCAACGACTCTGTTAAAACAAAGATTTTGAAAAATGACCTCCACAGCTAAGATACTTAGATAAAGACTGACAAAAATTTGTTATGATCAGCGTTACAATGACATCAAAGTTGCCATAGATTAGGGACATTAGATTATTACAGTATTGTTAATATTTCTCGTTTAATTTGACTTTAGAAATTTCCTAGCATTGTTATCCTGACATTGCCCCAAATATTGGCTTTCCATCTGGTCTCATCCTGGTGATGAAAGCAGTGCTTACTGTTTTTTTAATTCCAAACTTTATTATATTCATTTTAAAATCACTGGGGATTCCTGCAATCTGATTGACTCTCAGCAGTGTGATTTATTCAAAAATCACACTATTTTTTCGCTTTAAATCACATCTGTTCTAAATCGCGTCATTCGTGTTCTAATGATACGTATGATTTCAGATCAAATTGCAGGACACGAAGTTCGATTACCATTAATTATCACACTTGGAACGAGGGGTGCTAATTAAATATGACCAGAGGTAACTTTTATTTCCTATTTAAGGCTCTAAAGCGTTAAGTAATTTTTGATTAACTTACATATAAGTATCATTTTCGAAGGCTTCGTTGCTGGGTGAAAGAGTATCATTCATTTCCATGTTTTCTGCAGTCTTTACCTTCCTGACGATTGACAATTCACTGTCAATTTTTCGAGGTTTTTCCCTTTTAAACGGAGAAAAAGGCGATCAGAGAAGATCTTTCTTATAGTAAAAACAGATTGCAAGACAGGTTAATACTTTACTTTAGACCCAATTATTAGGCCATAAAGTTGCCATACGAAAGTATTATTTTTTGATCTCTGCCACCCCGTCTAGGTTCGATTATCAGCCGCTGTTCAGGAAACGAATGCAGAAATTCCATACTGATGCGGTGACACTACCCAGATCGGGGTAATGGTTCTGATTGGGGAACGCAAATTTACGATTAATCAGAGGCTCTACCCAGATCTGGGTTGTGACGTGTCATCAGTATGGAATTTCTGCGCTTGTTTCTCAGACGTCATTTCGTGGGAATTTTATTAATCCCATAAACTCCGTAGATTTTATTAGAATTAAGGTGTCACAGGTACCTTTTTTTCTTATTGCACCACCACACAAGGATTACGACAATGATGATAATCACCAGCCCACTAGCAACACAACCAGCAATGATATATTTCATATTGCTTTCTTTCTCCGTAGGTAACACCCGTGTAGTGGCGGTTGTAATCGGCGGAGTTGAAGATGTCGCTGTCGTTGTGTCTGCAAAAAGCGTTTGTACACTTGAAATGTTGGCATTAAGGGCGCTTGAAATGCTTGCCAGAGAACTCTGAACAATGGCAACCACGACAGCTTTCGGCATGACGGTAAACGACGATCCAGCTGGAGACTGTATGTAAAATGAAATGTTCGCCAGGAGTGGACTCACTGAAATCTGTTTTGGGTAACCAGGCAACACGTGTACTTGGTTCTCTGTGAAGACCAGGCTTCCCGCTGATCTGCGTTTGCGTCGAGAGCTTAAAATGGGAGTGGATTTGTTGTCTTTTTGTTACTTCTTATCATATTATATTTATCATAACTACAATGTATCAGCATCATCATCATCATCATCATCATCATCATCATCATTATTATTATGATATATTGTTGTTGTTGTTGTTGTTGTTTTGAGCCGATTCCTTACTTCACAGCTACTTTATTAATCTCCGGATCAAAATATTGAAACGATCACAAATTTAGTTAAACTGTCAAGAAATGAGTCAATGGAGAATTAAGCATCCATCCATTCTTCAAGCAATCAATCAGTAAAGCAATAAATCGACAAGTAGTCAATACCTGGTTTCCGCTGATTGACAGTTGCTACCTGTCAAGCAATGATCTGTAGCTGCTTGTGCAACGGACTGCTTGAACGCGTCCTCCTTTGGTTTATTCCACTGCAATAAGAAAAATTAGATGAGAGATCTAAAAATTAGAATGTCACGCTAGTGGACCACTCTTTTAAAAAGCTAAAACCTGCAATTGTCTTCGTTTCAATTTAATTCCAAAAATAATGGTTAATTTTGTTATTTAAGATTATATTTAGGCATTTAAACTGTTTCCTGTCGTCTGTTGCAACCGAGGGTAAGGATAAAAATGTATTAAAAACTCTCAACTTTTTTCAAGTTATAATGTTACGCCTGCAAAAATCACCAAAAAGGTTATCATGGTTATTGTTGACTATTGATATCTTCTTCATAACTATACAGAAACATTTCGTGTATAGGCTAAAGGGAATGACTTTAGCACAGAATTAACCCAAAACAGCAATATCCTTGTGTCTAACTCGTGGCTCAATATTGGCGCCTTTAAGTAACTATTGAATTTGCCCCTTTGGTTTGATCTGGAGCGTCTTGCAAATTGAGGAAGGGGTGCTCCTTTTTCCTCGCTTTCGCTTATCGGGGGGCAGGAACTTGGGTTTTGTTTTTAGTCAAATGATGGCAATTTTTGCAAGGTAGGTTTTAAAAAAATTCGAACTAATTGTATGCCAAAAAAATGGCTCACCTCAGAAATGTTTAATCCGACATTTACGCTGACTGATTCGGCCGTTTCTTCTGCAGAAGGTGTTCTCGGTGTTGATGCGGGTGGAGGCGGTGGAGGAGCTTCCCCTTTACCAAGTCCTTTGGAAAAAAAATAAATAAATATTTTATTATTCATATAAAGTATTTCCCCCATTCTGATCGGCTAAAGCAGACGCATAATTCACCATAACCAGCTACAGATGACCAAATTTGAAAGAATTTTGCGATAAATAAAGCGATGACGTCAAAAGTGCAGCTTCCTTGTAGTTAATGTACCGTTAACCAAGATACCTGGGGACGAGGTTCAGTTGTGTAGGTTGTGAAAACAAAAATGGCGGAAATTTCACTCGTTTCAAGAGTAAGAACTAGGCGAAATAATAGCTAAAGACATGGCACGAACAGTAAGAAGACAACTCGAATTGCGACATCGATTATTCGGAGAATATTTGCGGATCTGAACAACCTTAAACGTGCACCATCGAGGATGGTCTTAACATCGACGTAGGTAAGCATTTTTTAGCTATGTTTTTAAACTAGGAATTATTTTGAATGAATAATAAAACAATTATTGAATTCGGCTTTCGTATCATATGAAGAATTATGGGGATCTCGGAGGGTGTCCTCCGCCTCGGTCTACGGCCTCGACGGATAACACCCTCCTCGATCTCCATAATTCTTTACAACATACTCAGTCTCGTTCATTAATTGTTAATATATTGTATTAAGCTGATTTCCTGAAAGGAATAATCATTCCAGTTAGTCTTTAACAGAGGCGAGATTCATAGGACAAAACTTTCCGCTAGTATTCCAAATTTGACTTTAGAACAGAGGAAATTCAGGGTTTTCAGGTTTATTTCATCCAAAGGGTGCTTCTGTACTGAAGGTCATGTGGCACACACTCTTTCCTTAAAGATGACAGTTTTAGTGTCATATTTAACAGTTAATGAATGAGGCTGAGTATCTTATGAAGAATTATGGAGATCGAAGTCGTAGGCCGAGGCGTATAATACCCTCCGAGATCTCCATAATTCTTCATATGATACGAAAGCCGAATTCAATAACTGTTTTATTATTCATTCAAAATAATTCCTAGTTTAAAAACATAGCTAAAACATGCTTACCTTCATCGATCCATCGATGTTCAGTTCATCTTCGATAGTGTTCGGTTAGGTTTATCCAGCTCCGCAAATATTCTCCAAATAGCAGATGTCGCCCTTCGAGTTGTCTTCTTGCTTTTCTTGCCATGTTCTTAGCTATTTTTTAGCCTAGTTCTTACTCTTGAAACGAGTGAAATGTCCGCCATTTTTTCAAGTTCACAACCAAAACAACTCAACCTCTGTGGGATAACCTTACGGAATAAGGTTCAAAAGCTACAAAACAGAGCAGCCCGTGTTTTGACCTACTCAAGCTATGACGTAGATGCTGGTCACCTTTTCAAACTTCTAGGGTGGAAAAATCTAGCTTGCCAGCAACAATTTCAAAGAGCTACGATGGTTTACAAGTCTCTGCACGGATTGGCTCCAAACTATCTTAGTTCTAAATTTGAAAGGCGAGAAGTCGCATATAACCTAAGGGACTCTGAAAATAAACTCAATGTTCCATTACCGCGCACAAACTATTACAAAAACAGCTTCAGCTATAGTGGCGCCATTCTCTGGAACAGTCTTCCTTGTAACTTAAGGGAAGCAGAGTCCCTTGGGCAATTTAAACGATTATTCAAAGAACTGTAAGGCACGGCATTCGTGGAAAGCAGCATTTTTATTTAAATATTTTTATTATATTAGTATTAGGCATTTTTAAAGCTGACGAATTTTGTACCGTGGATAAATAAAGATTATCTATCTATCTATCTATCTATCTATCTATCTATCTATCCATCTATCTATCTATCTATCTACCTACCTACCTACCTACCTACCTACCTACCTACCTACCTATCTATCTATCTATCTATCTATCTATCTATCTATCTATCTATCTATCTATCTATCTATCTATCTATCTATCTATCTATCTATCTATCTATCTATCTATCTATCTATCTATCTATCTACCTATCCCCAGGTCTTCTCGGTTAACGGTGCCTTGACCTGCGAAAACGCTGCATTTTTGACGTCCTGTCCTCGTTAAAGTCAAAATTCTTCCAAATTTGGTCATCATGAACTGGTTATGGTGAATTAAACGTGCGCTTTTAGCCAATCAGAATCAGAGAAATATTTTGAATGAATAAAAATAAAGGTTAAAGGTTTGCTTATAGCGGAAAGTGCAATCAGTTTAAACAGCTGGGCACTCCACTCAAATAAATCTGTGTTTTCACTCACGTGGCCAGCATCTACGCAAATTTATTGGAACAAAAGAAAGCGTTTACATAAGAAAAGAGTTCAACTCCCACAATATTAGAACAAAATTAATAATTCAAACTTAAGATAAAAGGATTAAGATCCCAAAAACATCTGGCAACCAGCTGGCTATTTACAAGCGTCTCCGAGGATTTTAACTCGGGAAAAACGAAAAAGAGTCCTGCAAGTGGCCAAACCGGAACTCGAACCCGGGACAACCGGATTAAGAGTCCGACGCGCTGACCAAATGGCCAAGCAGCCTCCTGTAATGATGGTGTAGTACATTTGTTACAAAGATATTATGTTTTGGTAATGAAAGGACAACCAGGAACTTGGAAATGTTGAGAATACCACTCTTACGCACTGCTAGAGGCCAAAGGTCCTTCCAACTTAGAGCGACGTCCCTTTGGAATAAGCTGCAACCAGAGCTCAAACTAAGCGAATTCGTTAAAAGTTTTAAGCGTCAACCTCGGCGACTTCTTCTAGACGCCTCCTTTTAATTTAGTTAGTTAATTATTTTTCGTGTTTTTAGCTTTCTGTGTCTAATATTATTACTGTAACATTGACTCTGAAAAGCCCTGTTGGGACGAGCCAATAAATATGTATGTATGTAAGTATGTATGTATGTATGTAGGAACATGGTAAGCTGTAGAAAATCACCAATGATAGTGGAAAAACAACTTTGACTGAACAATCCGTTAAAGATGAGTCCAAATTATTGATAAATCAGAACAAATTCAGGTCATGCCTTGAGTCAAATAACAACTGAATTCATTCGCAAGCAAACCTTGGCATTTGTTGTCAATCCAGTACAAATCTTCTCCACAGACGCACTTGTAAGATCCGTGGAGATTACTACAAGTCTGGGAAGCATCTTGACATTGGAAAGTGAATTCCCTGCATTCATCGATATCTTATAAAGAGAACAGAGGTAGACCAAAACAGTTTCACAAAGTTAAATTCTCCAAGATTATACCGAAATCAAAAACTAATTGTGGACAATCTAATGAGTCAATTTAAAATGGAAATGATTATCAGTTTGCATGCACCGCTTTCACAAATTTTCTTAGTCTTATTTTATTAAGAATAATCTTTTTTTTATTTAAAATTATTTGTTCGTCAAAAATAATTAAAGCTTTGCATGGGTAATTTCAGTTGATGGACCCATCATCATCATTAACGTTATCTTCATCATTATCGTAATCATTTTCATTATTTCTGCTATTTATATATATATATATATCTATATATATTTCCTTTTTTTATCAGTTTTGTTTTCTTTCGATATATGCGCGAGAATAACAAGTCAGAACAAACTGGATACCGTTGCAAGTGTAACCGTCACTGTCAAGACTAAATCCGTCTGCACAGGAGCAATTGTAACCTTCAATTCGATTACTACACGTCTGAGTGCATAGACTTTTTCCAGTCTCACATTCGTTTATATCTGGAAAAGAGGAGTAGTTCAAGTATTATTATGTGAAATCATACCATTGTACGTGACATATCATAAAGCAGGGTTGCCCTTTGATTAGTCCGCTACACAACCGTTTTTAGTGTCGTCACGCAACGCTCCTCCCCACAAACGGTTACTGAAAACCAAACTACATTCCTTTCCCTTTACGTTTGTGGTCTAACGAAGTAGCCAATCATGTGTAAGAAATTCAACAATACGTGAGCCGCAGGGCGTCAGGAAGCGAGCACGCTTCTCAGTATTCGACCGATCAATCAATCGTCGCTGAATTTAGACGGGCTCTTGTTTTCAAGCAACAAAAAGGTCCATTTGCCTTTACCAAAGAAAGCAGAGATGTTGTCACAGCCTGTGTTCTAGTTTACACCCATAAGGGCTCCTCATGAAGCAGTGGCTGACATCGTCCGGGTCGAGTTGCATATAACGTTCGCGCCTCTTCCCTTTTTCATGTAGCACCTTTTGCGAAGAGCAAGCACTAGGACAAAGACATCATTGTCAGTGTCAGTGTATCAGAGTGCATCACACCTTCATTCCTGCGCGCATGCCGAACATGGAGAACAATACGCGTTTCA